GACATCTTGGCAGGCTTTCGCAGGCTCTTTCTCCTCAACCTCTTTTCTCATCCTCTTCAACTCTTCTGAGATCTCATCTTCTGCAAGGCCAGTCACTTCTCGGCTTTGTCTCCGCGAGCGCGATCTTTGTCTCCTCCTTTGGACTTCCCATCTTTGCTCTTCATCTTTCCTTTTCCCTTCTCGCCCTTCTGGTCGCCTTTTCCGCCCTTCCAGGAGCTGTGCTCCCAGGCTCCCTTCTGGAGTTGGCGGCTTTTCTGTTCTTCTCGGCTTTCTCTTGCCACTGCTGTCGCCTCCGCCTGTGAGGCCAAGCTTCCCAGGTCCATCGGCACGATCTCGAACCGCTGTGACATCTGCCACGACGAGCCGCTCGCCATGCTCTCTAGGGCCTTGAGCCTCTGCACCAACACGTCTGCTGCATGCGCTGGCTGGCAGCTCAAGAGCGCGTCCAGCGCTGCTGAGATGTTCAGAGCCTCGCGGGCCATCACCGGCGTCATCTTGGGCCGTAGGATTTGTCTGTAGAATTGCAACCCGACAGCTCCCACGGGGCTCATCTCCAGGCCTTCTTGTCCTTGTTCCTGCAGCATCTGTTTTCGCATTTGGCGAATGGCGTGATACGCCAGGGCTCCGGGGCCTGCTTTGGAGGCCAATTGTGTCCTCTGACTTTCCTGAAATAGGTCCTCCATGCCATCTGCTGCCTCTGAGGTCGAACTTGTCCCGGTGGAGCTCGAACTCTTTGACTTCTTCTTCATGGCACGCCTCGCCAGGCGGGAAACTTTCTTCCGGGTACGAGCGTCTTGATCTAGGCCCGTCCCCTTGTACAAGGCTGCATGCTCCTTCTTTCCTGCTGGCCTGAATGCCTTCTTCTTCTTTTTCTTTCGACCTCCACTGGTTCCGCTGGAACTTCTGGCGTCTCTCCTTGCTGGTGGCTGAGCTTCTCCTTCCTTCTTCTCCACCTCCTTCACCTCTTCCACGTCGCGAGCAAGAGCGTCTGAGCGTGCCGCCAACCGTCGGAGTTCCTCCATCCCCGTCGGCTCTTTGAGATTGTCGGCCCAAGGCGGGCTGTCCGCACCCCGGTACTTCACCTTCTTGAGATGGAGAATGTCGTCCCCCTCTGGGATGTTGGCGCAGTCCTCCAAGCATATGTGGCATCTCAAGGGCGTCCCGGCATTCCCTGACACCCATCGGAGAAGTCCCTCGTCCTGGGTTCCTGTCACCCAAGTCATAACCTCCAGAGCTCCTCCTTGAAATCTCAGGGCATCGACCTCGACCGCGATGGCAATCTCCCTGTTGTAGTAGACCCCCATTCCCAGGAGTTGAAGCCCTGGCTTCCATACTCCCACTGGGATCTGGTGGGCGGCCACCTCTTCTCCAGCCTCAAAACCAGTCGATCGCTCTCCTGCAGCTGCCGGTCTCCTTCGAAGGGCTCCTTCACGCCCGGCCAGCTCCTCTGTCTGCGTCTCCTCTATCTCGACCTCCTCGAAACCTCCCCTCTGCCGCTGGCCGTCGCAACGGCCTAGGAGGCATCCAACCTCCTTCTACCAGCGCTCCTCTCTTTCTTCGCGGGCCTTTCTCTTCTCGGCCCGACGCTCCGCCACGTAGTCCCTGAAGTATCGCTGAGTCTCAACCTTCTTCTTTCCCTTGTTCTTCGCTCCTTCGTATGGCCGATACTCGGGGCTGTCAGGGGGTCCACGATAGACAGGTCGAGCTGGCACCAGAATGGTTTGTCCTGTAAACCCAGGAGGGGGATTCGAGGGAGATCTCGGTCTCCTGACCTCCCGATGCTCCACCCTCCCCTCTGGGGCGTGGCTAGGCTTGATCACCTTCTTCTCGGCCTTGCTGTCGCCCCTCCTTCGTCGACGATGGGAACTCTCTCCTCTTCTCTTGACCTTTGGAGACCTTGTACGACTCGCCTCACTTCTTCTTCTTCTTCGACGGTGAGGAGATGTTGGTTCCACCTCCCTTACACCGTGACCCTCTGTGCGCTCTTCTTCAACCTCTCCACTAGCCTTTGGTTCTGCCTCCACTTCTGCTTCGGGTTGATGAGTCTCAGCCTCGTTGACCTCCTTGTGAACTGCCTTGCTCTCTGCTGACTCTTTCTTGTCTTGTGGATCTATCGAGTCCTCTTCGTCCTCCTCTCTTTTGACTGCAATGCCTCCGGGATGATGTTCTCCTGCTCCGCCTGGTTCTGATGCCTCTGCCGCTGATGTCTTCTCTTCTGTAGGTTCCTTGGGGTCTTCCACCTGCTTCTCAACCCCCTGTCCTGCTGCTGCCGGTCCGACTCCTTCCTCTGCACGTCCAGCGCCTTTGCCACCCACCTGGGGAGGAGGACGTGCCAGGTCCTCCCGTTCCCCAGGATTTGCCTCCAGGAAGTCGCTGAGCTCCCCGATGAGGTTCCTCACCCGCACGGTCGCGTAGTCCACGAACCTCGGGCTGACCTTCGCGAGCCCAACGATCCGGTGGAAGCGCTCGATCGACGGGCACAGGCTGCAGCCGCAGGTAGGGGGGTGCCCCCACATTCACACGCTGAGCCAGTGCTGCGGTAAAAACTCTCACTTGACTTCCCTACGCCTTTAAACACGGGGGCGTATTTACATATGTAAATTACTTTACATAAACATAATAATCTAGCCAATGAAGTTGTCTAATCTAGAGCTTGAGATTTAGCATGGTGGTCATGTTAATGTTGACCTATCATGCAAGTTCACGGCAGGAATTGCTGTGCCAAAAGAGATTGCTTAAACTGACTAGAATGAAGAGATATCAAGAGGAGAATTGCAGTGTGCCAAGTGCGCCTTGGCACGCTCTTGGCTTTCCCAATCCTCACCCCGGGACAAAGAGCGCTCAGCGACCTGTGGTTGGCAAAACATGTCCAGCCCAGATGTTAGCACCGATGTGGTCCAAATCTAGCAAAGATATGCAAAGATGGAACAAGTTGACAAGCAGAGTTCATGTGCGGCCTGATCTGATCGCTTGAACGCGTGAAGGATGCTGGAAAGGAAGCCAAGAAGCACTGCCACTCCTGATCGCGAGCCGAAGAGCTCTAGCTAGCCCTAGAGCCCTAGCGAGCCCTCGCGAGCCCTCGCGAGCCCTAGCCCCCCAGAAAACCATCTGGAGGAGCTTGCGAAGAACTCTAGGCCACCCTTTTGGAAGGGCAAGAACTGGCTTTGCTTCATCAAAACCATCAATTCACTATTGAAGATGTGATAGTCAAGTACAAGTTTGGTAAGCCTAAACCAAATATGTGCATGGCACTCTCCTCGAAGCAGTGCGATATCAATCTGTACCAAGGCGGGGAACGTCATCAAACGACTTGGAACAAACGGCTTGAGGCACCTCCAGGTGCAGGATCTTCCGGAGAACCCCTGACAGAAAAGTCTGAAAAAGATCTACAGTAAACACTAGTCTGAACATGGGGCTTCCGGGAGATGGGAGGTGAAAACAGTGCTCAACTTGCTCAACCAACTACTTCTCCAACTTCATGTAAGACCGTTCTTAGTGCAAAACAATAAGATGGGCACAGTGCAGAAGTTCAATAACATGTCGCAACATGTCGCAACTTCACTGTCGCTTCTGTTCCTGCGTGTCACGTTGGCTCTTAGGTGCAAGACGGAACATGCTCCTGCTTGGAACCACCTGAGTCTCATCCCCGTCAGTTTGAAGTTGACTGGTTTTTTGCAGGCTGAGTTTGCTCCACGTTGCCCGTTTTTTGCAGGCTTGGGACTGATCACAAATATTGGTAGCACACATCCGTCGCAATCAATGGACATTTAGCCCATGAAATGCCCATGCAGCTTGACGCAACACCACGAATTGCGTAAGCCTTGGTGAAGTTGTTGTTGGATTGGGTTTGGGTCTCTGTCCAGTTGGCTAAAAAAGTGAGATCACCAACTTGTCTCTGCGTGTCTCAGACCCCAGCTGCGAGGTGGAGTGAACATCACCTGGTGAGCTGAAAGTGGATCGCAACGTTCGATGCTGCGTCATTCTAGAAATCACCCCTCTGATTGCTTTCAAAGACTGCGGCCAAAGTAGAACACCGAGAAAACCAAATATATCAAAGTGATTGGGTGTACTGCCAGACTGAGCCAAACCAACCATCTTCCTCTGGTCATGGACTCCTGGTGCCAACTCACCGTATCCAAGCCTTGGGAGGTGTCTGAAGACATGGCTGTCTAGCGGCCTGACATGAACGAAACATGCCCAATCACGCCCAAATTCATAGGCTTGGCTCTATGACTTCATGGCTAGTGGCTAGCCGCAGGCTAGGCTAGCCACGTGGTTTAAGGTCCAACAAATCATGCTGGATCATGATTGAACAAAAAAAGAACTGCTCAGCTGCGTTCCTCCCTACTCCCTACTACCTTACAAAGCAAGCATCAATCCGGCTCTTGCCCGGGGCTAGGAGTACAAACTTGTTTGACTTAGATCATCGCCCATGAGCCAGATGAATTAAAATGATCGATGACACATTCCATGAGACCCTGGTGCACAACGTAGTTCCCATCGGTGGCATTGTCCAATGGTTCTAAGATCTGTCTTCTGCTCTTCTTGGAAGGTCCAGAAATGGGTGTTTCTCGTAAACTCCTCCGTCGCACTTTAAATTGCTGGGCGAACTGGCTCCCGAACGGGACCAAAACAAGCTGTACAACAAGCAAAATGCCCATTTCAGGGTCAAGGAACATCAAGTTATCAGTCATGAGGGATCTCTATCCCAATGATTGTCTACAAGGAACTATTTAAAATAAGTCTTCAGTTTCCTTGCACAAGTTGGATATGTTGCACTTCCAGTCGTTGGCAGCATGGAAACTGTTGGATGTTGAGTTGAGTTGAGTGAGTCTTTCATATCTTTCATGCAACTGCCAAATGCTTCATGTCATGTGATATCCATTTGGACTGTTGGAAGAGACTGGAAATGCTGGCACGTGCGCCAGTGCGGCATCCATCTGCACTAATGCCGAAGCATGTATCCCAGCCACTGTAAACCCTAAAACACTCGCCATCACCTAGTCTATTCTCGTCTCAGAATCGCCTCCTTCCGAAAACTCGTGCAATTGCCGCAAGAATCCGAGATTTGGACTGGCTCTTGGCCGACAGTTCTTGAGCTCTGCAAGAACCTCATCCACAGTTGCCCTTTGGGAACTTTGCCCTTTTGCTTTGTGCAACAAATACGCAGCTGCGATGGTGGCTGAACGGCTTTGTCCATGCTTGCAATGAATCAAGACATGGCCATCTTTCTTTTGCAAGGACTCTTCGATAAATCTCACGCTCGCCGCAAAATGTTCCGAAATCTGAACGTCGCTCGAATCATCCACAGGCACCCGGAGTCTTGCTGCAAGCTGTACATCGAGGTCGGCTTTGATTGGTTTCTGGACTGTGTCCTCAAGCCTCAGCTGCTTGATCGGCATTCCAACGCTGGTTGAAACTGCAACAGTCGGAGTTCGATTGTGCTTTTGAGGGGACCTCGCTTGACATACGCGTCTACACACATGCCAGGAAGCATTGAAGAGCTCTTGTCTCGCGGCTTGGAGCGCAAAGTAGACACCACATCATCAACAAAGGGTAAATCTCTTGAGCAATTCACCACGTAGTGGATTCCCAGGGCATGGTAGGTATGCGGGTCGCTGGCAACTCCAAAGTTGCTGAGGAAAACCCTACCATCATCTGCTGTAGCCACCAGCGAAGGATATAAACGTCCAAGTTCGAAAAATGGATGACCTTCATGCAGAAACGGAAAGGACCGATAAAAGTCTTCAGTACTGCCAGCAAGTTCACAGACTTCTTTCACTAAGGAGTCACTTCGCTTGGTCTCGTCCCGGGTGAAACCAAAGCCATTGGCGGAAATCCATTTGTAGAGACCTTCTGCTGCTCGGGCCTGGCGACCCTCGCGACCCAGCACCGCGATGGTCCAACCTCTAGCGCGGCGATTCACCATAACCTGCAGGGGGACACATCGACGGTCGGGGCTCATCCATGAATGGCACACGTGCACAGCACTATCCTGACTCCAGGATAGTCCCCAACAAAGCCCACCCAGCAATGCAAGTCCGCCAAAGTGAGGCGGAAGCATAGGACTCACAAGGAAAACAAAAACGGTTGAGAGAAGAGACTTGCAGTCCCAGCTGTCTTGCTTATTGCTGCATTTTACATTTTTGGACATTCTCTCTTTCGTCGTATCAACACCATGTCACCTGCCTTGCGAAGAAGCCTCTTGCATAGCTGCGGTGACATGAAGTTGAGTTCTGTAGTCTCCAAGATCTCGCCGACGTCATCAGCATGATCTTCTTTGTCCACATCGACCACCAGGAGCAGTTCTCGTGTGTCCTGGATGAACCCCAAAATCACCTCGAATGGCAACAAAGACACGCAGTTGGAACGCTACTGGAAAAGCACTTGGAAAGCATGGTTTGGTTGGAGGAACCGAGAAACCCATGGATCTAGGACTAGGACTTTGTCTCTGAGCTCCTGAAGCTTATTGTAGAGCTCGGCGGGAGTCAATTTCTTCAACACGATGTTGCCCATGACATTGCCCATGGTGTGCAAGGCTTGAGACCTTTGTATATGTATGTATATATGTATGTACATAAATATGTGTATAATTGTGTATATACTGTATATAGTATATAGACATAAGTGGATAGATACAGTAGATCAAATGAAATCACCACAAATTCACACTCTTGCAGCCAAGGCTGCCTAGGCCTAGGCACTTCACACGCACATCAACCAAGAATGATGTTTGAGAGGCTAAGAATCGTATCCCATGTCAAGCAGGGGCTGGAAATGGCTGCAGTTGGCCGAGTCCCGAAGAATGAATGACTGCAACCGGCAACCGGCCAATGGCCCAAGGTCAAGCTTAGAATGCTCACACTCGTGTCAATGTGTTGTAGTGGTCCCAATGGATGGCCCAAATTTCAGCTGTGCTCAAAAGGTCATCTATCTGCTATGTCTTGTCATCTTGACGAGCACAAAGACAGCTTAGGTGGCCTACGCCTAGCTTGCGCGAGCGCAAAGACAGCTTACGCGCTTACGCAGGTCCTGGATGCCAGGAGCTTACGCAAGCTTATGCAAACCACTAACCAGGGTTGGGCTTACACAAGCACTACTAAGCTCCTCACTGAAACTGACCAGGGGTGTTTTCATGGCTCATTGTCAAAAAGTCGTCAATTTGAGAACTTCTTGAGTCCAGCCTCAGTGGATGGCGAAGATCCCTTGGCCTCAAGGGATTGGAACGGAGTCGCCTGGCGCCATCGCTTCGAATGGTTATGTAAATTGAAAGTTGACCTTGATACGAACTTTAAAGTCATTCCTCATTTTCACCCACTCAACACTGTTGAGACCAAACGACTGAAAATATATACTAGAATCGCCCAACTCTGCAAACCTGAACCCCAGGGAAAAAGTTGAGACAACAGGTGTGCAAAGAAAACAGGACTCCAACAAGATCCAACAAGAATGTCTTTGGCAGACTCAGGTGACTGGATCCATCATCCTATTCTTCGAATTTTTCCAATTCACTTCGGTTCCGCATGCGACGACATGGCGGGTGCCTTAGATACCTACCCACGTCGAGACCTGGCAGAGTATTTTTTAAATATTCCTATATACTTCCAGTTATATCTGAAATAAAAATTCTGTGAACTGACCAGTTAGTGGAATAGTTGTAGGGTTTTTATAT